TATGATGCAAATATTAGTTCGTTTTTCCGATTATGTTACGACGACTGCGTCCAAGCGGACGCAGTTTTTAACTAGAGGGCGGACGCGGGCGCTTTGGAGGCAGGACGCGGGCAGAGCAGGCGCAAGACGCGGGCGTCGTGGAGGCCGGACGCGGGCGCTCTGGAGGCAGGACGCAGGCAGAGTGGACGCAAGACGCGGGCGCTCTGGAGGCAGGACGCGGGCAGACGCGGGGACAAGTTATTTCTTGGCAGTACTGTACATCTGGAATCCTGGATAATGTGATCGAACATAGTAGAGTTTTCTGTGTCGGTGTAATGTACTCAGGTGAATATGATGCTTGTGTTGTTACTCTGAGTGTATATCCACACCGGGCAAACTTGAAAAATATGCCTTATAACTAACTTTTACTGATGGATGGATGGCTATTTTTGAAAAGTTGCTTATTTCAGTATTTATTCAAAAAGAAGCCAAAAAGAGCCAAAAAATAGAAAGAAGCCAAACGAAATTTTTAGTAGCCAAACGAAGTCAAAAGAAGCCAAAATCGAGAAATTTGGCTCTTTCAACGCCAAACTGGCAACCCTGCAGTTCCTAGGGTTTTATTTCGGGGGTTACGTTCTTCGTATATATGTAAACTAAAACCCATGTGGCTTCAAAATACGAACAAAAGTGTGAATTTTGCTTTATTTTTATAAAGCATAAAAAGAGTTCTAAAAGCCACAACGATACTTGGATGTGATGTTTCAAAAGAAGATAATGTAAACTTTTTTTTTCAAGCGGTATTCTTGAAGTTTTCTGAACCGCCGTACGCGAGGTTCGATCGCGAACATTGGGATATGATATGGTTAGCACTAAAAGGCGGAACGCTGGAACGTGGAATGCTGGAACGTGGAATGCTATTTTTTTACCTTTTTTGTTATTTATCAATATTCTGAGTTGATTTGCTTGGTATAACTACGCGCTCGCATAGACAGCAATGAAGTAAACGTATTACAGCGTTTCTGAAATTTCCGAATATTTCCCAGTCAAGAAAAAACAACAGAATTACGCAATAATTATAAAGAAAGAAAGACGGGGTACAGTGGCATAGGAAGATGTTTCAAGATAGGAGGGCTGAAATTCTGGGCTGGTTTTGTAGGGGTTCGGGAAAGTTTCAAAAATGAAGTTTGGAAATAGCATTTCTACACTTTCTGGTTTTGAATTTGCCATTCAAGAAATTGAACAACAAAAATATCGACAAGAGTATGTTTAATAATTTTTTTCTAACTGTTCTATGCGTATATTTGTTATTAATTCAGCTAAGCTCTGTTTGCAAAATGATAGGGGGGTCCTGCGCCACTGCAGGGGTAAGAGGGAATTTTGAGGTATAATTGTGCAGTCAGGGTCGGACAGGAAATATAATCAGACTTCTCATTAAGGCTATGTCCCCTCTCTTCATTACTGCATACCATTTTTTTACCGTGTTCTGCCAAATTTTGTCGTTTTTGCTACCGAGTCGCTCGCGACAGAGGCGAATTAATGAACAGTATAGCTTATTTTTACGCATAGCATAGTTATTAAACTTTTAAAGTTATTACAAAAAATTATTAAACATACTCTTGTCGATATTTCTGCTGTTCGATTTCTTAAATTTGCCACCAGAAAGTGTAGAAATGCTATTTCCATTTGAAATTTGACTTCATTTTTCAAACTTTCCCGAAGCCCCTACCTCGTCCTCACACGAAAGCCCTGGGAACGACGTTGAGCCCCTACAAAATCACCCTGGGATTTTATCCCTCCTATCTTTAAACATCTTCCTACGCCACCATACCCCGTCTTTCTTTCTTTCTTTCTTTTTTTCTTTCTTTCTTTCTTTCTTTCTTTCTTTCTTTCTTTCTTTCTTTCTTTCTTTCTTTCTTTCTTTCTTTCTTTCTTTCTTTCTTTCTTTCTTTCTTTCTTTCTTTCTTTCTTTCT